GTTTAGATGCGATTTTTTATATAAGTATGTAACTCCTCTATCGATGTAAGCAGATGTATTCAAAAGCAGTAATCTGTCAAAGTAAAATTTGCCGATGTTCATGAAAGGTATGAAGCCTTCGGCATAGCTGAAGACAGCGCTGCTCTTACTTGTTTTTATTTAAATCTGCCACATTAATACCTTTCGAACAGTGGATGGATTTTTTATACGATATTGAAAGTATGAAAAACGCTTTTGGAAAACATGTGCAGCGATCCACAATTAGGTTAGAAAACATTTTTTCTAGGTTAAAGCGATTACCACGCAATTTGTCGACATGTGTAATCAGGGATTACCGAGCGCGATTTGATAGTACAGTATATTTTGCTTAGCTGCACATCCTTCCTTGCACGAAAAACTTGTGCACTTAACCGAAAAAGGCACTTAAGCGAATTTTCTTTACTACTTCAATGAGGAAGGTATCCGAATTCCTATGAAACCGAGAGAAGCACTTACCACGTAGAAATTACTGCAAGCGAAATTTTTACCAAATGGTATATAATTATCTATATAACTACATAAATTAATAGCCATTTTCATTGTTCTGCGAGATGAGCAAAATAAATTAAAGCTTGTAAAATTAGGTAATTGGAGGGCCAGTGCAGGTAAACGTAATACTTTCTTTGATAATTGATACTAGTTGCACAATTTTTAAGGCAGGTATCGCCAATGTGCAGTTATGTTGAATGCATCTATCGGAGCAGTTTCTCTATAAATGTTAAAAATAATGCCTCTGATGCGCATTTTGGGGTAGGTATCTTAAATGTGCACTTAGGCATAAAGGCAGCAAAGCAAAATATACTGTAATTATTTGTATGCATACATACATATGTACATATCGTCCATGTTTTTTCACCGGAGGGCGCAAAAAACGACTTTTCTTTGGAGGCATTGGTTCGAGAGACGGTATTTTCTCTAGCTATTATTTTACAAATCTATTGTATTAATAACGATTTTGGGATTCTTATGCATAAATCTCGATGCCTGGAGTTCAGGGTTACCACAACGGCGATTTAGGCGGTTTTGCAACTGGTCGTGGGCGGTTTCGCTGAATTTATAAATTAAAAATATAAAATGAAAACGGTTGCCATGGTAGCAAGCATAAAATTTCCAAATGCAAATCCAAGACTATTTACACAATATCCTGAACAGCCCATTGTTTAATGTGTTTTAAAAATTTCAAAAAGTAAAAATCGTTCGCTAACCTGTCAGGAGGATAGAGAAACATTATTCGTAAAAGAACTATAACACTATACTGCAAAATCAACTGTTTTTCGGGGTATCGGACCAAACTAATTTTTTTCAAGAGATTGAGATTAATTTTAAGAGCTTAGATACGCACTAAAAGATTGGTAAATATGCTTGCAAATATGCTCGCAAAAAAAATAATCACCGTGTAACGTTTTGTATTTTATTCAGTTTGTTTCAAGGACTGAAAATTTCTAATGGACTTACAACTGTTGCTTGACATTCTCAAATAATGAAGAAAAAATAAGCACAGTGTGACGTTTTGTTTTTTATTCAGTTTATTTCAAGGATTGAAAATTTCTAATGGACTTACAAGTGTTGCTTGATATTCTCAAATAATGATGATCTGTGTCAGTGATGATAAAGTTGCCACAATTGGTACAATTTGAAACCAAAAAGTACATTGAAACCACATAGACCTTTTTGGTACGATTTGGAAATGCAGAACTTTATATATGTATTTCGATTAGTTTTATATTTACGTTGGTTAAAAACTTCTATTCATTTATACAAATTCTTTCTTCCTTCTCTACTTCATACAAACTTCGGCTAAATTTATTTTACATTACAAGGTTGACAATTCCGATTTCTTATAGAAATCGTTTTGTCTTTTTTACCTCACACCTTTTCTACCGGAGCCAGTAATCGGACTTTAAAAAAATTCTGTGTGGTAGAATCTGGTAAAAAATGTGGTAGATCTCAAAAAAATGTGGTAGATCTTTGGGTTTGGATCAAACTTTGTACAAAAATTAAAAAAATTCTGCAATGCTTCACCCAAATGGCAAACTTTTTAATTAGACTCTAAAAAATTTTATTGTAGTATAATAAAGTGCAAGATTGAAGTTGCTAAAAGTTGCGTTGAGTTTTGGAATTTATTTTCCTTGACAGTTAAAGCCTTCCTTCCTTTCCTTCCTTCCTTTCATATTAAGATATTTTTCGAACATATTTTAAGAGATTTCTGCAACCTTGCGGAGTGCTGCCAGCTTTTCTTTTTATCACATCACGAAGTAGCGAACAAATGTGGAACGCTCCAGAAACAGCTAATTGTGATTTGGCGATTTTTACAATTTTCAAGTAAAAGTAAACAACGCCTCAGAAACATTTCATGCACTCAAATTTGCTAATACGTTCTCAAAAATCGCCGTTTTTTAACATTTTCGCTATTAATTCTTTTTATAAATCATATATTTTGCAACTTAACATAATAAAACCGCGTTTTCTGTCGAAAGATTAATTACTGAGGAAATTTATTATTTTACAATTTATTTTATTCTCCCATTCGGATTCGTTTACTTATGTCAAGCAAAAATAAAACTACTCAAAAACGCGAATATGTTTTAGATTTCAGACCTTGAGTGGTAGATGCTCAAAAAAGTGGCAGATCTACCACAATGTGGTAGAAGTCCGATCACTGACCGGAGCACGAGAACTTAAAAAAATTTAAACATATATGAGTTTTGGGAACAAATTTAATTAATCCAAAACGAGCATTTTTAAAATATCTCAAGGTATATTGTCTATTCCACATTCTCCGTGTCTTTTCTGTTCAGAATGTGATAAAAACTTAACGTAAATAGAAATAGATTACAAGTAAAAACCCTCGGTTCTTTAATAAAAGCAGAAGATTATGCCATGATACACAAATACATACAGAGTCTTTAAACGAAAATGTGACTTACGATCTCTCAGAAAGTGAAATGCTTAACTTATTTTTATTCTACTTTTACTACATATACATATGTATATTTTTACATGATGTTTGTTTAAAAGGCGTTGAATAAATGTATATTTGTTTTAAACTTTCGTTGTTTTTGTGAAAGCTTTTAAATTTTTGTTGGTACATTTTTATTTTATCTGGTACATTTTTTCAGACTTTTGATACAATTTCTTCTTTAGCGGCGGTAGTGATTTGAAACTCGATGAAACGAAAAACGTGACAACAACAGCAAAAACAATAGGGATGTTATTTGTATATTCTGCACTGGTAATAAAATGTTTGTAACCGGTAAATAAAGTTCCTGTCAATTTTTAAACCCTTTTCGCATTCTTTGTACTCTTGTAACCGGTAACTTTGTTCGCATCTCATAAGCTGATAACAAAGTATTGCCCCGTGAAATATGCAATGCCAGAATCTGCACAATTCTTCATAGCTGAATTGCTGAATATTTTTTGGTAATAAAATTTTCCGGTTACAGAATCTTCGGTAACGTACAGAATAGACCTGTAAGTGTGTAGTTATGTATGTATGTCTCATAGAATTCCAGCGACGTCTCGAAGTCAGATTGAAGTGATTTTGTTTTTGTTTTCTCCGCTTTTATTGTCGCCTTGCATAGCATAGCTGTTAATAAGTGAGTATTAATTTAAAATACCTTAAATTACTTACCGCAAAAAAATTTGGCATTATATGCAGTGTTCCATGAGATATTATTATAGATATTAGGATGTTGCTTTAATTTGGATCCTTTTTATAGGACATAAGAACAAAGGAATGTTAAAAAGTTATAGTTTTTAGACATAAACTACTCGCTCTACTGCTGCTGGTGCAGCGTTTCGCTTAGATTGGGCACATTCGCCCCGAGGCTGAAAATTTTCCGCCGAAAAGCTGTTGGAACAAGCACACAACACCTTGGTGAAGTTACCATGCACGTGACCATCCCGAAATATGTAGTTAATTGTACTAAATACACGGTTAGAAATGTTGGAATATATTTTAGACCTTGCTTCGGTTTAAATCAAATTTTAGACTTTTAAGGTTTTGATTTAAATTTTAGAAAGTTTACTTCAAAAAGTACATTTTCAAGGTATAAGTTTAAAACCTTCACTATACTAAAGCAAAATTAATTCTCCAAAGGTGTAATTTTTAGGCTTTCTTTGCTCTAAAAATCACATTTAAAACTATAAAGTATGAATATGAAACCTCTTTTGGATTAAAAAAATTTTTTGGCCTTTTCAAGTATTAATTCTGAGATTTTCTTGGTCTTAATTTAATTTCCTACTCTCATAGTTCTATGCTGCTGCCAGTAGGCTTTGATTTATTTTATTTTCTTACAGTTGCCAGATGTGGGGATTTCGCCCTATTTTGGGGATTTCTGAAATCATTTGGGGATAGATTTTTTCGTTTGGGGATTTGATAGGGATTTTTGTTTGGTTTAAAATATTCATATTGAAATTAAAATACATATATTTTACTGCCTGCCCTTAAAAATTTCTTAAACAAAGATTTTCGTTGCCAAAGTGTTAATCGTAGAAAATGCCTATTTTAATGGCTTTCGCTGAACACACAATTTTTCGCTCTCTTCATTACACCAGATTGTAAAAGGATCGCTGTGATTGGCATTTACCGAATGGACTGCATATATTTCTGATTTCCTTAGTGTAAAAAGAATTTTACAAAGTGGCAAGCGCGCAAAAAAAAAATTGACGAACTTACAGACAGCAATGGGAATAGGAACCTTGGGCTGAAGGTATGTTGTTAAATAGTCTCCAAAAACCATAAAAAATAAGAAACCGCTATACGTAAATAACCAAATGATCTCATATATATGTACACATATACAACTGTGAAAATTCTGGCAACACTGGCTTTTGATCAGTGTTGACAGGTCGACGCACTTTTTTTGCGCAATGAATGCAGACATTTTTTCAACGTTTCGGTTTTTTTCTGTTTGATACAACATTGGTAATTCATAATGTTTGTACATTTATGTGTGCTTTCCTCAATTAGTTACATGAATGTTGCAGATTTCTTTTGATTTTGAGTTGCGGTATGTGGAGAATAGCCAAAACCTACTACAAAATTGGATAAACTACTCAGTTTTCGCTAAAGAAGTATATCATGAAGCCTCTGGAGTTGTGGATCCAATAAATAATGGTAAGGTGTATACATATTTATTAATATTTAATACCAAGCGTAACCTCATTGCATTTTTTAAGGTTGGAGCTCAGAAGTGCAGACTTTTCTGTATTTTCTTAAACTGTTACCTTTCACCACAACTGCAACAAAGTGTAGTTTAGCGAAAAGAGTTTCATATAAAGTGTCTGAAAGCAATTTTATTACATTTGCAAACCACTACTCGCCTATAGAAGAAATAGCTGCTGCTACAAGTCATCCCTCTATACTTGCTGTTGGGCCTCCTAACAAATTAGCAATACTCAATATTTTCTGGCCGTTGATGGTAAGAAGTTAAGTCTACCTACGTCGTTCAGTTTCCTTGAATCATTTGATTTGTATTTCAAGACATTTTATATATTCAATATTAAGTTTTATCCGACACTCACAAGCTTTTTAAATTTTTTTGTTAAGTACATTTATAAAATTATACTGTAAATTTGTAAAAAAAATTTAAACACTAGAACAATTCGAAAATTCTACATAAGTGTTGTTTTTTTACAAAAATCATGTAATTTTAGTGAAATTAAAATGTATTTCTGTTTTGTTTGCAACAAAATGTTCGACACTACTGCTTTTATTATATTTCATTTAAAACATATCCATTTGTATAAACTGTATAAAATCGAAAAACTGTAATAAAACTTTCTGTACATTTAGAGGGCTCAAAAGACATGCAGAAAATTGTACTGCTGGTACTAATGCAAATGCCGTACTTAATGTCACCTCAAAGCTCATATCATCAGTAGATATGTTAGTAGACGAAATACCAAAGGAACCTGATTTTGGATCGAGCAATGTTACATATTGTTCAATTAATTTTAATTTTGAAGATTCAGTACAAGCTTCGTTTTAAAAATTTGCAAAACAATTAATGGCATCTGGAATAGCAGAAACTAATGTAAATGAAATATTTAGTTCAGTTGAGGAAATTGTAGCTAATCTTTTCCAAACATTTGAAGCTTATCTTAAAAATCGGCATAGTGAAGTTCACTCTACCATTTTAAAAGAAACCTTTCATTGCTTTGATTCATGTGTTTCAAGCCATATAAAGAATTTTTCAAGTAACTACAAAAGAAGCGAGATGTACAAAAAAGATGAATTGTATGTAGAACCAGTTTCGAAACCTTTAGGTGGGATATAAAGACAAATAGGAGCAGCGAAAAATCTTACAAACACTACGTGGAATGCACGTTTCAATATGTACCGATCGTAGACACTATTAGTACACTTTTTAAAAATAAATCGTTAAAAACTTGTACTATAACAAAAACCATTTTCGCAAAGATGGTGTATATGTTAATTATTGCTACTCGAAAAATCATAAGCAGTCTACTCTATTTCAAAGCAATGAAATTGCTTTGCAAATCAAACTTTTTTATGATGAGTTCGAAGCAGTAAATCCTTTGGGAAGTAAGACTGGTATACATAAAATAGGTGCAATTTATTTTTATACCCGAGCGCACTTGTGCACAAGGGTATTATAACTTTGTTCACATAACGGTTGTTTGTAACAGGCAAAACGAATCGAGATAGATATAGACAAATGTATACATAAATGATCAGAATGAAAAGAGAAATCGATTAAGCGGTGACTGTCTGTCCGTCCGTCCGTCCGTCTGTGCACACGATAACTCGTGTAAAAATTGAGATATCTTAACGAAACTTCGTACATGCACTTCTTTTGGGCGTAGGACGGATGGTATTAAATGGGCGAAATCGGACAATAACGACGCCTACCTCCCATATAACGGTAATTTTCAGAAATACGAAAACTGCGATATTTTAGTAACTACTGAAGATAATTCACTCAAAATTGACATTTAGAATAACTTTTACACGAGAAATAAGAATATTAAAAATTTTTGAAAAATGGGCGTAGCCACGCCCACTTATAGTTACATGTGTATATTTTGGTAACCGCTGCACCAATTTCTTCCAAACTTGGCACAGTTGTTGACCCTGGTACATAGGGCTGCCAGACGTCCCGGTTTTCCCGGACATGTCCCGGTTTTAGACTATTTGTCCCGGTGTCCCGGTCCAACCTTAAAATGTCCCGGGTTTCGTTTTAGTGTCCCGGTTTTTGATTTGATTGCACAAATTTGAATAAAAGTTCAAAAATCACTACAATAAGAGAAAAAATGTTATGAATTCACTGAGGGAAATAACGCATAGTAAACATGAATATTTTCTATTTGATTATCGTTTAAAAATGTTCGTATTTAAAAATAATAGTTTAATAACACGCACGCGTGGTGTTGATTCAAACTTAACATTTAAATGCACATTTACAATGCTGTAGCTGAGTGCGCGAAGATGCTTGCCACAATTTGCTAATTTCCAGAGGGTCAAGGTTCAATTCCCATTACAACCAGCATTTTTTAAACTTAATTATTAAAAGGCAATCGGTAATTGCAAATCGCTTCAATTGAATATGGGCGTATTTGAATTGAATATTTCTATACTAAATACTGGTCGGCCGCTGTGGTGTAGTGGTAAGCAGTGCGCGCTTCCACTCCCCAACGCCTGGAAAAAAGGTATTTCTGCCATGAAAAACAGCTTATCATAAAAATACAATCGCCGTTCGGAGTCGCCGTAAAACTGTAGGTCCTTCCGCTTTGTGTGACAACATCAAGGCGCACGCCACAAATCGGAGGAGAAGCTCGGCCAAACACTAACTTATGTGTAAACGCCAATCTATTATTATTATTATTAAATACCAAAAATTTTTATACTTAAATGTATTACGAGTTGGGTTGGTGCTCTTTTATATGCGTTTTTTTTTTTAATTTAGCACGCTTTTTTAATTCTAAGTTTCTTTCTGTAAGTGCACCGGTTTAATTTGTGAAATAGTTACATTTCGAGATAGTTGAACTTTGCACAAGCAATAGTTGAATTATATTAAGGAAAAGACAGAAGTTTTGAAACAAGTTCACAGCAACGAAAAATATTACTGATATTTTAATGTTATCTTGTACTTAAATTTTTTTTAGACTTATAAGTACGTACAGTGCCGTACAAAATTATTGGCTCGGAGGCTCTTTCATCAGATCACAATTTCTAATTAGATCTTTTAGAAAAATTTTGAAAATGTAGATTTTGAGCCAATTAATAAAGTGCAAGTCTAAAGTTTCCAGCAAATTTCGTTGATTTTTAGCATTTATTTTTTTTTGCTGACAGTGTCTTTAATATAAAAAGAATTATCGAACATAGTTTGTATGGAAGAAACTCTCAGTAAAAACAATACCAAAAATCAACTAAAATTTAATGGGCTGGAAAACTTCATTTTAAAAATTTTTATAAAAAGTTTGATTAGAATGTTGCAAATTTTTACGCAAATTTATTGAATTTTCCCGAGTTTAGCACAAAGTTTAAGAGGCCCTCCCTAAAGTGTCCCGGTTTGGCAACAGAGATATCTGGCAGCCCTACTGGTACAGCATACCAAATGACCGAAAATTTTTAAAATCGGTCAATAACCACGCCCACATCCCATATAACGGTAATTTCGAGATATACGAAATCCTCGATAAATCAGTAAATATTAAAGTTAATTTATTCAAAATTGATGGTTGCAACAATTCTTTATCAGGAAATACGCTTATGATAAAATTTTAGAAAATGGGCGTGGCACCGCCCAATGATGATCCCATATATGTATATCGTTAACCGTTTTAGCAATTTGTACCAAACTCGGTATGGTTATTGTGCTTGCCACATAAAAGCGAACCGTTGAAAATTATTGAAAAATTACGGCCGCTTTTCATATAAGGGTAAATTTCAGAAATGCTTGAAATTTCAATATTTCGAAATTTAAGGATGCTAGTTTACTTAATATTTCTACACCCGCTTATCATGTAGCGGTAGCTTTCGGAAAGGTGGAAACATATATTTAATACTTGCGCCGGGTATTTAATGTTCGGCTCCGCCCGAACTTAGACTTTCTTACTTGTTCAATATAAAATATACCATAAGAATACTTCTCAAAACTAAGGAACATATATTTAGTTGCACTCTTTTTCTGTACTGATTTAATAAACGAATATACAGATTTCAATATGATACTAGCGCCTATTGTAGAATACCTAAAATATCTGGAAGAAGATGGAATTTACATAGACGGTTGTAATATAAAAAGAACATTAGTAACTGTGGCACACGATAACTTAGGAGCTAATATCTTATCTGGATTCGCGTCGTCATTTAGAGCGACCTATTATTGCAGAATTTGCACGATGAATCCCGATAAAGCACAAAAATCTGTAATAGAAAACTCAAATCTTTTAAGATTGCAATCTGCGTACAAACACTTGTTCAATGTAAATAAAGATGTAATTTTTATTGACCTTAAAGAATCAAAAGGAATTAAACATTTTTGTAAATGAAATGAGTTACGCTATTTTCACATAATGGATAGTAACAATGTAGATCTGATGCATGACGTTCTTGAGGGAGCTCTTCCTTTTGTACTAAAAAAGTTTTTTAAAACAGCAATATGAATGAAATGTATTAACTTTGAGGAGATAAGCAGTAAAATAAGATTCTACAATTACGGGTTCTTTCAAAAAAAAAAACTCTTTGTTCACAAATAACAGTCGACAGAACAGGTGCATCCCTCGGCCTCACTGCTTCTCAAAACTTATGTCTTATATCACACTTTCCATTCATTTCTTTCGATCTTCAAGAAAAATTACCGCATTTGTGGGAAAGTATTACTTCTTTACTACAAATAATCAGAATGACAATGTCACCAGTTATTGAAGAAAAAGATATAGAGGTTTTGAGTGAAACAATTACGTCTCATTTAACTTGCATTGTAGAACAATATAATTTAAATGATGTATTGTGTAGTTTAAATCTTTTGCCAAAACATCATATGCTAACTCATTATCCTTCAATCATTAGAAAGCTAGGTCCTGTTGTACATTCTTGGACGATGCGGTACGAAGCTAAGTATCGAGATTTTTCAAGCAAGCTTCTGTAACGAACAATTACATAAATGTTTGTAAAACATTAGATTCTTGGTACCAAAAAAACTTTAGTTATTTTCAAGAGCACATGACGACAGAAAAAACAGCTTCATTTGGAAAGTTAAAAATAAAAGTAACTTCAATTGTAGAACCTGAAGTTAAAAAATACTTTATGGAAAATGAACAATTTAATATCAAAATTTATACTGCAAATAGCGTAAATATTAATTATGGTTTCTCCTACAGACCTAACTTTTATGTATTCTTGGGAAAGGAGACTACCGATGTAAATAAATTTGGCCTTATAAAAAGTATATACGAAAACAATGGTGAAATATATTTTCATTTATTGATATATTTTTGTAAATATTTCAATGCCATTTTAAGTGCGTACGAAATATTTTGCAATGGCAGTTCATGTATAATAAAATTTAA